TCTCGTTGTCACTATCTTGGCTCTGGTCCTAATTATTTCTCTCCGACGCCCCTCACCCACATCTCTGACTTTTTTCTTGTCAATTTCCATCTGCCCTTCACACCCTCTGCTCGAGACTGATTCCAAAAGCAAATGTGATCAATTAATTCCCAGATGACAAGGCTCCAATAGTTTCCTGTGACTTTCAACAGAGTCTAAACTCTCCAGGAAGGAATGCAAGGCCCTTCGGGATCTGGTCCCTCCCTGCCTCCGACTGCAAGCTCACATCCCTCTACCTACCACCATCTAAGCTCACCACGGAAGTAATATGGGACCACTTTGTGGGTACAACCAGGGGAAACACATTATGGTAGTTCTTGCCTCTAATATGATGTTCTTGTGCTAGGAATGCCCATTTTAGATAGATAGATAATTGGACTGGTCAGAAAGTCTGGATTTTCCATAAGATCTTAGAAAAACCCAAACAAACTTTTGGCCAACCCCAATAACTCCTATTACCTTTTCTCTTTCATCCCATCATCCTTCCAGCCTCAAGTCAACAAAGAAACGAAGACCAGATGGAAGGAGGGAGAAGCGACACGAGGAAGACGGCAACAGGCAACTGCACAGCACACGTAGACAGTTTCTGGGCCAACAATGACTTCTAACCCCGTATCAACTGTAACTAAACGGTTCCTCAAATGAAAGAGAATGCTGCAATAGCCCTATACTTCCCTTGACACATTCAACTAGATACCCAGCTGTCCCAATATAAACCAGCATGACAATAAGAATGATAAAAATAATAGCTAATATACCATCCTCCAGAAACCCTCAGAGTTCTTTACCTACATCAACTTACTTACACCTCAATAAGCAAGAGAGGAGGCAACAAATGTCAGTAATTTGCTCAAAGCCATGCACCTTTTCATAGAGGGCCAGAATGCAAACCACAAAGCCAGTGTTCTTAACCCTTACACTCATGCTGCCTCTGTGATCTGCTATTTTAAGTAGGACTGTTAGCACATACCAAATTTTCTTCAAGAAGTCTCACTATAGACAATGAAGGTTTGGGTCCCGCATGGCCACCTTAAATAGACTATAACATTCTTCCAGAAGTTCATCACAGTGAAAAGAATATGGAGTTTGAATCAGAAGGCCTGATGGGATTCAAGTTCCATCTACATTACTCAGTAGTCATGTGGCCTTAAGGCAAATCATTTAACTTGGTCTTCAATTTCCACCTGTGATGGAGATATTAACACCTACTCTCGTGGGAATGCTCCAGAGTATAAATGAGATAAAGTCTATAAAAATATATTGCAAAGGTACTCATTTCAATTCTAGCAGTTCTCATCAAACACCAAAATATCCATGATTATTCGCCTAACGTGAACATCACCTGCAACTTAACTCCCGGACATTGAAGTCCTGCATATGTGTCCTGAATTTATCCCCACAGTGCAAATAATCAGAGCACTGGTTACTGTTAATGTAATCTTTTTCTGGACCACAAAGTCTTATCCTATATGAAGTCACTTTTCCTTTCAAATTTTCCCTTGCAAGGTTCCTATAGAGATGATTTCACCCTCCCCTCAAGAATGAGGTAAGGAGAAATCAAGGTGAAAGAGAAAGAAAAGCCAGCTTTGGTCCTTTTCATTTCATTTTTCAACCTACTGTGATCTCCATCATTTTCACTTTTTGCTATGTTTTCCCTCTTCTCCCAACTCTGTTCACAAGCATTTACCAAACTTACTATAGTCCATGCTAATGCCGTTGAGGGTGTCTGCTCTCAGGATATCCAAATACCCAGATTTGGTTCTCCAGCTGTGGCTATTTTTCCTTCCATATCTGCATGCCCCATGGCTCACAGAACCCTCTCAACGGCATCCTTTCCACATCTAAGAATCCACACAATCATTTCCTGTAAGTCCTTCAGTCATGTTCCTGGTGACCATGCTTTTCCTCCAGCCATGCAGGAGAAACTCACTGATCCTAGCCAGTAACAGAGCTGGGATCTGAACCCAGCTTCCCTGACCACAACCAAAACTCATTAAAGAGTAACACACTAGCTCTACATTTGTAGTTTCAAGAATGTTTAGTGATTCACAAGTAAATAGCCTAGCACTATGCTTGGGAAGAGACAAGAGGGATACAAAATGAACACAGAGAAGTAGAACAAAGAAGAGGCTGCAACAGAAGCATCTGTTACTTCTGTATTACCTGTTGTGTAAAAAGGATGTATCACTAATGTATACAGTATTCACAGGAGTTTATTACAGAATCTATCATATGTGAGATAATCAAAAGGAACAATCAAGTCATGTTGTTGGCTGCTGTATCTTCAAGATCTAGTTCCCGGCTTGGCATATGGAAGGCATACTGAAAATATCAATTAATGAATGCTTCCATGTACTTTGCTAAGTTTGAATCTCTATGAGCATGGGTCCTGAATGTTTCTTGGTTCATTTGCTTGACAACCATCATTTACTGAACATTTACTATGCTGGAAAACAGTTCATGACCCCAGAGATGTCTTGATGCTAGCAGGTAAAAATAACTTCATATAAGACATGGTTTTTCCAGTAATCATACATGGATATGAGAGTCAGACCATAAAGAAAGCTGAGCACTGAAGAACTGATGCTTTTGAACTGTGGTGTTGGGGAAGACTCTTGGGTGTCCCGTGGACAGCAAGGAGATCAAACCAGTTCATCCTAAAGGAAATTATTCCTGAATATTCATTGGAAGGACTGATGCTGAAGCTGGAACTCCAATCCTTTGGCCACTTGATGCGAAGAACTGACTCATTAGAAAAGACCCTGATGCTGGGAAAGATTGAAGGCAGGAGGAGAAGGGGACGACAGAGGATGAGATAGTTGGATGGCATCACTGACTCAATGGACATGAGTTTGAGCAAGCTCCCAGAATTGGCGATGGATAGGGAAGCCTGGCGTGCTGCAGTCCATGGGGTTACAAAGAGTCGAACACGACTGAGTGACTGAACTGAACTGAAGACAAATGAAGCATTAATCAGCCCATGTATTCTACACAGACAGAGGAAAAAATTTACACATGTACACAAAGAGGATACAACTTTATGTTGCTGGAAAACTGCATTTTTAAAGTAAAATACAAGGACTTCCCAAGTACTCTAGTGGCTAAGACTCTGCTTCCACTCTAAGGGTCATGGGTTCCATTTCTGGTGGGTGAATCTGTATGTGCAAGGCCAAAAGAAATAAGCTTTAAAAAAAAACTGAACAGGAAATAAAGATGTCAACTTTAAAAAAGTCAGAAATAAAGTAAAATACAGTGTTCATGCCAAAAGTAACTCCAATCACATCGCTTATTGTTTGTTGCTCCTTGGTAACATATTCCCTTTATTTGGAGTAAAAACCAAGATGTGTGAGAGGGTTTGGGCATGTTCCAGAAGCAGCCAGATCAATGTGGTTCAAGGAAAGTGCACGTGGGCCTGCAGAGGCGGAGGTAAAGACAACAGGGTGCTTGCATGCATGCTAAGCTACTTCAGTCGTGTCCGACTCTTTGTAACCTTATGCACAGACTGCTGTCTGAGCCAGGCTCCTCTGTCCATGGGATTCTCCAGGCAAGAATAGTGGAGTGGCCTGCCATGCCCTCCTCCAGGGGATCTTCCCGATCTGGGAGGTCTGTGAAGTTCAGGGAGCACTCTGCTGGTCTGTAAACCAAGGAGACCTGTTTTTCCCGACACTCCGGCTAGAGACAGTCTGGGGCTGAGCAAAGGCCCTGGAACCAGTCCCCAGGGCTGCACAGTCAGGATCAGCCACGTCCTCCCTGTGTGACCTCTGGCAGACTAACTCCTAGGCCTCAGTTTCTTATGCAAAATTGAGATGATAATAATAGTATCTAACTCAAAGTGTGCTGTGACACCTCGACAATCTTTTAGAATCATGCCTGATGACTAAATACTAGCAATAATAATCCATCTAAACCAAAGCCATTACTGCCCTCTGATTCACTAAAAGAATTTTTGGTTTTCCCGAAGTTCCACTTCAGCATAAGGATCTGATTCAGGCAAGCATTGCAGAAACTGCCTGTAATTGATGCTTATATTGATTATCAACAAGACAGATCAGGGGTCTGCAAACTCTGACCTGTGGACCAAATCTAGTTCACTGTTTCTGTAAGTCATATTAAAACATATTCATTCATATGTTCTACTATCCATGTGGTGGCTATTTTTCAGCTACAGAGGCAGAGTTAAAGAGCAGCAACAAAGCCCCTAATAAGACCCGATGAGCTGCCAGACTGAAAATACCTACTATCCGGTTCCTTTCAGAAAAAGTTTGCTGGCCCCTGAGATAGATGGCTGAATGAATATATAGAGAGATGACATCCATAGATAAGTGTACATGAGAGCAAAATAAAACATGTATCTATAAGCCAGAAACTTGATTCAAGAATTTGCTCCTAACCCTTTCCTGCTTTGGCTATTAGCTTAGAAAAGTGGTTCTCAATGTCCTGCCCTCTTGTGATTTGCTTATATGAGTGGGTTTATCTGTCAGCCTTTATCAAAGGTGGTGCAGAAAGAGAACAAAATTGAGACCTTTGCCTTAGATCTTACCAGACTATCAAGGTCGACCCAGGAAGAGCTTTATTCAAAGCAATCATTTCACTAACACAGGTTGAATTACTTTCCCCTTTTTCTATCAGACCAAAGTCAGACCCAATGGGCCTTGTGTTGCAAAGACAAACTGCTGAAAGCAGAGAGCTTCGAAAACCAATAGAAACACACAGTTACATTAGCCTCTAGTCTTGAAGTACAAAAACAGCCTTTGTGGTTGTCTGAAATACAAGAGATCTCAATCGCTGTTTACTGAACCTTAAACCTTGACAAAATAGGTTACTTTCAGGTCCTGAACTAGCTTCAGATTTATCCTTTCCTTAACAAAAGAGACTGAGCTAGATGAACCTCATCCCTTTTGTTATTTTAGAATTAGAGATTAGAGAAGAAGGAAATGGTTTTCAATGAAACTTCTTTGCAGGTACCTCTGGAAAGCAAGGATTGACCATGCCCTCAGAGCAGTATGTTCAAAATGGTTTCTGTGAACACTATTCTAACAGGTATTCTGTAAGAACAGGGAGGGGTTCCATGTCCATAAAAGCTCAAAGCATTTTGTTTTCTATGCTTCTTTCCAGTGGGAGTTCTCCAAGTCTTTACCTTGTGCATTATGAACCTCCCAGAGGGAGACCACATGGGCAGTTTCCCAAACTTATTTGATCAAAGAAAGCCTTTATGGGTCTGATTTTTCTTGGAGCATAGTTTAGGAAACATGGCCTTTAGATAATGAAAAAGTTTACTGAAAGATGTGACCTACTTTTAGATATTCTCTTAGAAAACAGCTACTTATTAAAAACTGGTTGTTTTTTGCCATTCTGCCTGTTAAAGGAGCAAATAATTATTAATATACAAGTGAAACCCTATTATCACTAAACCATGGGAAACAACTTCTATGGAAGCAGGATTCCCAAACCTCATCCTTGCAAACTGCCTCTCAGCTATCAAACTGGATACCACGTATCATCAGTAACTTAAAGCAAGAATAAATAAACGTTTCTTAAGCCACTACTTCAGGACAAGAACTACTTGACATGACACTGCATTTAATCTCCAGAACAACCTTGCATGTAAAATTTTAGTATTTCCATTTCGCAGATGAAGAAATTGGGAGGCCAGAAAGTAACCTTGCCAATTATAAAATAACCAGCATTGAACCCATGTCTGGTTCAATCTATTCTTGGGTCTCACAACAGTTATCCCAAGCACTTCATTTTTATTGAAATATAGTTGATTTACAATGTTGTGTTAGTTTCAGGTGTAGAGCAAAGTGATTCAGTTACACACACACACACATTCTTTTTCAGATTTTTTTTTCCCTTATAGGTTATTAAAAAATACTGAGTATAGTCCCGGGTGACATACAGTAAGTCATTGTTGGTTATCTATTTTGTATATAGTCATGTGTATCTAAAAGAATTCTCTGTGATGATGGAAATGATACATACTGTGCTGTCCACTAGCTCTACTAAGGTAGCCATTAGCCACATAACACGACTGACCCCTTGAAATGTGGCCAGCATGACTGAGGAACTGGATGTTTTATTTTAATTAATTTACACAAAGAGCCACAGGTGCTCCCCTATCATACTGGAAGAGTATAGACCAACAGCATTCTTAAATACAGAGGCTGCTGCTGAGTCACTTCAGTCGTGTCCAACTCTGCGCGACCCCATAGACGGCAGCCCACCAGGCTCCCCTGTCCCTGCGATTCTGCAGGCAAGAACACTGGAGTGGGTTGCCATTTCCTTCTCCAATGCATTAAAGTGGAAGTGAAACCACTCAGTCGTGTCTGACTCAGCGAACACATGGACTGCAGCCTACCAGGCTCCTCCGTCCATAGGATTTTCCAGGCGAGAGTACTGGAGTGGGTCGCCATTGCCTTTTCCGAATACAGAGGCTGCTTGGCTCAATTTTCAGAAACATCACGTTTCTGAAAGAGAGTTTCCTGCTACCAACCTCTGGCTTTACCATATGTCACTAAGCAAGGAGCCAACAGATCCAGAGGACAGGGATCAAAGGGGAAATGGGTGTGGGGGAGTAGACTGACAAATACGGTAAAGAAGTGAAAGCAGAACGTGTGGGCAAGATAAAACACACGCTAAAGGAAGAAAGTGGGCTAGGGTTATTTCTTGTCAGGCCAAACCAACTGAAGTATGTTAACAAGGTATAAGGTGGTGAGGCAAAGACACAAGAACAAAGCACCTAGAGATGTGGGGTAACTCAGAAAGTGTCCTCTGCATTTTAGGAGGCTTTGAGACACCATCTTATGCTTCTCTTATCCTATTTGCTGTCAGTGAACCACAAGAAAAGTTTGGATGCTCAAAACGTTAGACACAGGTTTTGGAAAAGTCCATTTAACCTCACACTTCTATGCCGAACAAGCCAGGTGAGAAATGCATAACCGTCATATAGCATTTTCAGGTGTACCAGTCTCTGGAACTTTCTGGGAAGTTGTGTCTTTTTTCAACTCTTCTTACTAACCTGTGACACAAATCCTAGGACACTATATTTGAAAAAGAACAGTTTTCATTGCTAATTTTGCATCTGGATCATGTGAATCCTTGATAGCAAGGTAAATTGTTGGTTGCTCTTTGACTTTATGATTTTAACAATTCATCAGAGATATCAGTCAGACTCTAAAAATGTTAGCCAACACAGAGGTTAAGAACGGGAACTCTGAAATCACACTGTGTGGTTTCAACACTGGTCCTGCCACTTAATGGCTCTATGACACTGACTATGTACCAGTACTTAACCTCTCTATGCCCCAGTCTCTTCATTTACCAAATGGGGACAAAAATGGAATCTCTAGGATGACAACAACCATTTACATGATCTCAAGTGCACCCTGTAATGAAGATATACATATGTGTGTGTATACACACACACACACATATTCACATAGGGGAAACATTGTTACTGTCATCCTAGAGATTAAAAAACCAACTAGCTTGGTCTGAATAAATGACTTGTTTAGGATCATTAGAGAAGCCCAGTCCTTGACTTGCTAACAAGTGCTTGCTGTCTGGCGCTATACAGGCAGTTAGAACATCCTAAGAGATTCCATTTTTGCCCCCATTTTTTCCCTGAGGTCATAAAGGACTGTTCTGTATAGAAATCATAAGATGCTAGAATTAGAAGGATCCAGACATCACTATTTTCAATTCCCCTATCCAATGTGGGATTATCCAGTCATCTATAGCACCCCATCCCCTCAATTTTTTCAGCCCATAAAACTTGAGAAAGGGATCAAATACATGATCACATATAAATAATTTCACACTTAGACAATTCCTTGAGCCAAAACTTGCTTTTTCTAACCTTCATTTCTTTGATGATAAACAGAAGAATTCTAATATCCATCCCCCACACCATGCCACGTTCATGGAGTTTACGTGAGGCAGATGTGTCTACACTTACTTAAGTTCCAACTGACCCCCCCAGAGAATAGGGAGGACAAGAACTCAATTTTTTCTTTAGGTACCAAATATTTCTATTAATCTACCCTGAGAGTGACCAGGCATCTCTAATAGACTACTGGTGAAATGTATTGTTTGTTGTTTTTCAGTCACTCAGTCATATCTGACTCTTTGTGATCCCATGAACTATATAGCACACCAGGTTCTCTGTCCTTCACTATCTCCTGGAGTTTGCTCAAATTCATGTCCATCGAGTTGGTGATATCATCCAACCATCTCATCCTCTGTCGTCCCCTTCGCCTCCTGCCTTCAATCTTTCCCAGCATCAGGGTCTTTTCCAATGAGCCAGCTCTTCTCATCAGGAGGCCAAAGTACTAGAGCTTCAGCACTAGTCTTTTCAATGAATATCCAGCGTTGATTTCCTTTAGGATTGACTGGTTGGATATCCTTGCAGTCCAAAGGACTCTCAAGAGTTCTCTCCAACACCACAGTTTGAAAGCATCAATTCTTTGGCGCTCAGCTTTCTTTATGGTCCAACTTTCACATATATACATGTATTAGATCAACTCCTCCTCCCCATCTCCTTCAGAATAGCTAGATATCCACTACATTCTCTTTTGCTATTAATATTAAAGATTTGCACATAAGTCCAAGACTCTGCATTTAGCTCTTTCAAATCTCACCTTGGTTGACTCAATCAACCCTTCTCAGGCCTGAAGATCTGTTTTAGCCTGGCACACTGGCTCTTTGGTCTCTGTAGCATCTGCCAAACTGGCTGGCATACTTGGTCCACCTTCTCCCAATCCTTGATAAAACTGTTCACACAAAACACAACTTCTATGTGGTGACTGTCCACGCTTACCAGAAGCACTGGATATTGAAGGTTTTACATTCATCATTCAGTGAACATTACTGAATGCCCTCTTTGAGTAGGGTCCTAAGGCAGGGGAGAAGATTATAAAGAGAAAGAGACATGGTTACTGTGCTTGAGATGCAGAATCTTCTGGAGGTGACCGTCACATATCTGAACAATTAGAATACGAGACCTAATGCTGGTGCCACGGAGCGTGATCAGGAGAGCCAGCTGTTCGGATTGAGAAGACCTAGGAAGGCCTCAGAGAGGGGAGGGCAATGAACCAGGGCTTTGATGGATGATGAGGAGCTCGGCAGGCAGTGGTGGGGAAAAAGAAGATAACAGAAGTCAGTAGGAAATGGGTTTTTAATGATGCAAGTGGCATAACTATTTTTTGTTTGTTTTGGAATTTTTCTCCTTTCTGGAAGCCTTTCTGAAAAACAGTCAGTATGTTAACTGACATCTCACATACTTCTCCTCAACTACGAATGGCCCTTTGCACTTCCAACGTTTGACTTGGGAGTTTTTAAGAAAACTTTTCTATCTTAAAATGCAAAGCAAAACACCCCATGTTTACAAGTCAGAGGCAAAAGCCTCTCGACTTTGTTTCACAACTCTGAATGTCTTAACTACACATACGCCTGCTTCTGTCAGGAAGGCTGGACATGCTGGCTCTGGGCTGGGGGACTGGCCACACTGAGGCTTTTCAAGCCTTCCTTGGTTCTGTCCCCGCCCCGTGGGGTGCCCAATTACATCTCATTTTCTGTGTGGCCTTTTACTTCCTTTGAACACTGACTTGAAGGTGGGTCATAGTTTTGAATGTGCTCATCCAGTGTTGAAGTCCTTCATCCCAGAAAATGCTGTCCGCCTCCTGGTGGGACTTTTGTTTATAAAGAAAATTCTTTATAAAGAGAATTCTCACAATTCTTCCCTCCAGTTCCATCCTTAGTTTAAGCTTGAGATGATTAAAGCTGTGTGCAACAGGCAGAGTTGAGAAACCTTTTCCTCCCTTCTTTTCTACTGGGATCACCGTAAACATCTTTCCAGCCACACAAAATCCAAAAGGCAACAAAATGAAGACTGGCTTGGAGTGCAAAATTCTTTTTCCTTCTTGGAGGATGAGGAGAGATTTGTAGACAGAGACTGAATCTTATCTTTGTCTTCTTAGCTCAGTGCATAGCAACAAACCTACAGGTGCTTAAGATTAATAAATGCTGAGTTAAGAGAATAA